GCCGATTGTGACCCTTTTTATTGCAGATTCTACAATGATACTGCCTCAATCTGCTATTTTCATTAGCCATCCTATCTCCATTGATCAATTTCATGCTATCCGACTTCGGGCAGTTCCTCCTGTTGTGGCCCTTTACATCACATATCCCACAACAACGCTGCATTGTCGCAGTGATTGGTTTACTACTCAATATAGACCTCTTACAGGTCCTTCTGTTATGGCCCTTCTCTCCACATGCTCGACATCTGAATCGCCTATCGAGGTTGCCAATAAGTTCGGGACAATAGTGTCTTCGATGCCCTTCACGACCGCAGTTTGTACAGTAAAATTTTACTCCTACATTGAAAAAGAAGGCAGTCAATATCAGCTCCAGTATAATGTACTTGAAAGAAGGTGAGCGTTTGTATAACGTGCTGATCACTTTGGTCAAATGTTTATTTTTCTACATCAATCTAATCACTTGAAAGCATTTAACAATAACACTAGCATTCTTAATTATAATGAAAGCTGAACCTAGGCAAATAGAAATTTGAATACAAAAATTGACCTTTCATTGCAACACTTCGCTTTCGACGATTCTCTGGATCGCTGAAGAATGCTTTCAAAGTTTCAGAAGTACGTTTTCTTGCTTCAGCACTTCCTTTGGCTTTCTGTGTTACAAAGAAAAGATCATATATTTGAAGGACTATAAGGATTAGGAGACTTGAAATTGTTTGACAACAAACATGCATTGAAAAAACACTGCAAAATGAAATTTGAGTTCTTTTAGCTAATGAACCACCACTGGTATTGAGGCATAATTCCCATAAAATAAAATTTAAAAAAAAAAAGAAAGAATAAAATCAAGTACACTCAAAACAAAACCCAATTTCACTTGATTTAAACCCAATTTCACTTGATTTAATGCTTGCAGTAACCTTTAAACAAAAAGCATCTTATGAGAACAGGTTCAGTTTTCTTTTCCTTTTAGGAATATATTTGAAACATCTCAAACTTGTAAGAAAAAGTAATTTGGTAATTTTGAACCGTTATGTTTCATATCTGGCTACCAAATGACTCTCTGAAATTTTAAGAAAATCGTATAGATGAAATTTAAATTAAAAATTAGTTTGCATGTCAAAACATGAAACCAGTGCTTTTGATTTCACTAACTTGCCATTTTTAATCAGAGTGATAATCAATTCAAATTCCACAGTTGGGGCAAATTGGTAATTTGAGTGTCTTAATCATTCTTTATAAGGAGGACTTGCATAAGTTTGTAAGCTCACTGCTCAGCTCTTCCCAGGTAGAATTTTCGTTCTTTTACTTTCGAGCTGAATAATAGGGCCAAGACAATTACCACACCACAACATTACATGGCTCAACAAAACACCCATACCCGCAAACTTAAACTTTACATTGTCCTTGAATAGAGGCTACTAGCCTTGACTTTTTGAATTGCTATTGATAATACTCCCCTAAACTCCTTTTTTTTTCTTTTTTTGATAACTAGGAGTCAAATCTTCACTCCCCTTCACCCATGGCACCCGCACCCATTCCAAGACTCAGACCCATGAAACATCAAGGATTTTTGGAATTAAGCTCACTAGAAAGTTCAAACTTGAGACCTCTAAGTCGATATGACCAAGAGACCACAAATCCTTTCCAACAAGATAGTAGCATAGGCTACTAGCCTGGGTTTTAATTAATACATCAATATCAAAGAGTGAAACAGGATAATGCTTTAAAAAATTGAACTAGGATATTTGAGTGGCACTGGTTCTGAATATTTGAGTAGCAGACTGTACGTCTGACAACTGTCCTTTTAGTAAATGGGCCGGGAATCTGTCTTTTCCATATATCCTCTCAAGATAGGTGCGATGCTCAATAACGCTGATGCTTGAACATCTCATCCATTCAGCTAATCTTGACAATTCATCCTTCTGATGAAATTCTTGTGCAGTAATTCACCATGGGCTGGGGGTAGAATTCTACTTGATAAGACTTTAAACTACTCCTATATAACCAAATGAAATGACTAAGCTCAAAGGCAAAAACAAAACCCAACATGAATTAAATACAGTAAAAGGAAAATTAAAAGTAAAGTTAAGCTACAGGAGGTGAAAATGATTTTGCAAGAATGATACTCCCCTTTGTATTCAGCTTCCATTTTCTTCGAACCTCTTTTAGATAGTGAGATGCTTGGCATCTCACCACTTCTCCCCCAGTTAGGCTTTAATGGCTAACCCTTCACAGTGAAATAACTCCATATGAGATGATCGAGATCCTTTGTCACACTCACACCCTTACAAAGGATACAACATTGTGGCCCTATCATGAGGGGAGACTTTCTCCAAACCCGATCCTACGTATTAGCTATGTCATGTAGTACCTGTCAAAAAATTTTACCTTCTTGGGAATTTTAACTTCCCACAGCGAGGAAAAGACGTGACTATTGGAGGAAGAGGGATCCACCAAACAACGGAAAAAATATCTACAAGAAAGCCCCTCTAAAAGATGGGGACCTTGCCGAATATTTCTTCTCCTCGGACTACCAGAGAACTCCCCAAGCAAAGACAAGAGCCACTAAATCCTTCGCTTCCCAATTGGATAACAGACGGCAGAAACCCAAAGCAAGAGAGGTGAGTTCCAAAAAGAAGGTAAAATAGAGACTACCGATTCATTTCTCGTAGAAGAAAGAAGATATAAGAGAGGAAACGGTGCTCCCCTCATGACAGAGACCACAAACTGCTCAAGAGGGTGGCCTAGCCATGACAGAGGCCACCAACTGCTCAAGAGGGTGGCCTAGAGATGGAGAACTTAAAGATTAAAAATATCAGCCTCTTAGCCGAATGGGGATGTGAGACCTTCGGTGGTGAATAACTATATTAGGAGGGCA